CCCCCCCCCGAGCACCCCTACCGAACCCCACCGTCCGATCCCCACCGAGACCCTTCCTTTCACTATCGAGGGCGGGGTGCGGACTGAAAGCGTTCCGTGTGTCGGTTCGTGATTCAAGCCGCACCCTACAGCTGAGTATTTAGGTCAACAGGTTAAAAGCAGCGCGGTCGATGAGAAAAAACGAAACCACAACACTACGAGAAAAGCGCACGTGTAGCGACCTCTCTGAGCGCCTCCTTCTCCCTGCGCAGCTCCTCGATCCGGCTCGCGACCGCCGAGGTCTCGGCCGCTCCGCCTCCCCCCCACGCCCACCGCGCCCCTACTAGACGATGAAACCGCCGAAGGGGCGCCTCTTGTCCTTCCGATGGCGCTCGAGCTCCGCGGGTACGTCCCGGCCTCTTCGACAACCCCGTCTGCGTCTCCCCCGGCCGCCGGCGGCGGCGGCGGCCCCTTAGCCTCCTCCCCCGCCGAACCCTGCCGTTCGTTGCTGCTGCCGCCTTGCCGACGAAAACGACGACTTCCGCCGCCACTACAGCTACCGCCGTCGCCCCAAGCATCGTCCTTGTCGCGGCCTCGCGGGGAAGCGAGCGGACGGGCTGCGCCCGGTTGCGCAATAACCGATGCCTCCGGCGTTTTACCGGACGCATCGTTGTCGTTACGTCCCACTTGTTTATCTGCAGGGGGGGGGTCGAAGCCGACGCAGGAGCAGCCGCCGCTGCCGCCGCCACCACCGCCGCTTCTTTTCCTGGTGGTTTCTTTGACGTTGGCGTGTCCCCTCGGCGAAACCGCTGCCGGTACCAATACCTCTGCTCGTGCCGCCGGCGCGACTACAACCGCCGCCGTCGCCGCAGCCGCTGCCGAGGCGTCGTCTGGAGGGGCGGACCGACCCTCCGCTCGGTACAACTTGCGGCAACGACACGGAGAGCACGAAGAAGAAGGCGTGCAGGAGGAAGAAAGCGCCGCAACTCTGCCGGCTCGTCGAGCGATCGCGCCGCCTGCTCCGACGGCTTGTCGTTCTCCCGCACCGCCGCCGCCACCGCCGCCGCCGCCGCTCGGTCTCGACGCCGAAGGCGGTCGACGGCGAGGCGTTTCGCTGCTGCTGCTGGTGCTTCCGGGAGACGAAACCTCGCCGAAGTCCCCTACCGGCGGCGTTGCGAGTGCAACCCCGTCTCTGCCACCGGTAGTTACTCTTCCCTCCGACGTACCTCCTCTTTGCACCCTTTCCCGCGCCTTTCCTCTCCGGCTCTCCCCTCTCCTTCCTTCCCCTACCCCTCTGTACTCCCCGCTCTCCCCGTCCACCACGCAACTCCGTCGATGCACCCGGTGCTCCTCCGCAAGAGGCTCTGGAACCCCTGTTCCTCCCTCGTTAGATCGAGAATCTCGCTCTGAGGCCGGGCTCGGCGTACGCCCACCGCCGGTGCCTCGGGCGGTGGTCCCGTCGGTGGCCCCGTCGACATTGCCGCGGCGGCTGTAGTGGTGGAGGCGCCGCCGCTGATTTCGCCTCTCCTTCTGCCGGCGTGCCGGCAACCGCCTGTCTGGTGCCGCCGCCGGCCCGCTCCGATCGGCCGGCCTGTCCGACAGCTCGGAGAGTATCCCACGAACCGCACGCTCCAACGCCGACAGCCGCGCCGCGGCGGCGTCCGCTGTGCTCTTCTTCGCTATTGCTGCCGACACCTGCGATGGTGTCGCGGCAGATTGTCGACGAGGGTAAGAACGGCCTCAGGTGAGAAAAGTAGGCAAAGACCGTGCCGTCCTGTGCAGGTTTCAACGGAAAAATTCAAGTACGGGAAGGTGCGCGGTGCTATCGTAAAATGGGAGGAGGAGGAGGAGGAGGAGGAGGAGGTGGAGGA